AATAATTAGTGTTTTATGATAAATCAATCATCCTATATATCAATTATTCATAATTAATATTACTTGTTTAATGATTAATGGAAATGATTTCCTGATGTCATCAATACAAAATACTATTGAATTTGCATAGGATTTTTTTCTTATAGACCATGAAAACAATATTCATTAATGTTAATTTTATAATTAGTTAGATTAAATTATTACACTTTTATTTATTAATGGACATTAATTTCCAGTCAAAAAACAGTTAGGTACTTTAGAAAACTCTAGTATAAATATAATCATAAAATTAAATGTTGAAATATTTACATTTTTACTATTGTTTTTATTTAATTTGAATTAAATTAGCGAGCAACATATTTTACGTGAAGAGTTAAAAGCATTGCAAACACTAAATGTTCGTTTGGCTCAGAAAGCATCTGAAGTTGAGGAAGAATTTAAAAAAACAAAGCAAGAATTAGAACAGCTCAAATTGAACAAATCTGATTCTGATGTAATTAATTAAATATTATTTATTATTTATTTTGAATGTTTAAAAATTAATTCTTACAACTACTAGAAAAATATAATTTAGGTTATATATATATATAACTAGTATTATTATTAATAAATATAAAATTTTGATGAAATGTTTAACTAAAATTTTAGGAAGAAAAATCATATGCAGAACGTAAAAGATTTACTCGTGTTGAAATGGCGAGAGTTATTTTAGAACGAAATAAATTCAAAGAACAACTAATGGATTTAGAAGAATCACTTCGTTGGCAAGAAACTGTTCGGGCCATTCGATTAGAGCCAAACGAGAAAAAAAAACAGGGTGTGTGGAGACTGTAAGTGATTAATTATTTGGTTTCTGAATGGTGTAAAGAGAGTGCTTCATTATCTATCGCACATAAGACAAATCAATCAATTAAAATATGAATTTGCACAAATAACTTGATTTTGGTATAATCCAGTAGCTTTGTATATTATATTATTTTATATTTATTTCATCACTATATTAAGATAAAATATCTCTTATACAGTTTTAGCAACTTATTTGGAACCAGTGTCAAACCAATCGATACTGGACTTGGAAGTGGAAATAGCGGAGGAGGCGTAGTTGCGCGYCCAAGATCAATTCATTACGATCCATCATCCCATCAAGTTGGCCCCCCTAGCATAATGAAAAGACGTAGTATGATAGAAGGAGGAAGATATAGTCGATATGAAGATGATATGTATGTATTTTATTATTAAATTTGTATTTCTCGAGGACTAATCTTTTGCATGGCTAATGGGTTTACTAACAAAACATAAAATACATTTATATTGAGTTAAAAATAATGTCTATGATCATTGCTGAGAATCACAACATTTTTTATTTTTTAACTATTTATGTATTTTCTCATTACAATTTTCGGGATAATAATCATTATTTTATTTATTCTATAATATTGGTATTAATATTCGGTTACAGATTGGAATATTATTTTTATAATTCTATTCAAACAATATCTCGGCATAAACATTTGAACTTTATCATATAAAATATGTAAAATATCCACACGTCCAAAAAGAAATTTGATTAGGTTGGTCCTAGAGAAATTTTATGTACTACTTTCTATTATTTTAATGAACTTTGCTTAATTATATTTAGYTTTAGTGACAAATCTAAGCGTCCTGATCGACGTGTACATTTTGGTAGAATACGTACTCATATTCCCAGAGAAGAAAGCTGGTTACAAGCTTATGGTTGGAGTATGCCAGCTGATCCTTCAAATGGAAGACCTCATTTAAGTATGCCACAGCAATCTAGTAGCCCAAGTACAAACTATCCAGTTCCAGTTCTAGTAAATTGTTGCTCACCGCTTGCTGATACTGAACCTGGAATGAAGGTAAATATTAATTTAATTTGATCTTGTAAAATATTAAAAGTTACATAATATTAATATTATTACGCTGATATTTTTATTTGATTTAATGGCAGTGTTGAGTAATTGCGTACCTAAAATGTATGATTTAATCTATCAATGTTACTTTGTCTGTGATTCATTCTATATTTTATTAGATTTATTTTTATACTTAATTCCCTGAATATAAATAACTAAAATTTGTATAATGTGTCAGTGGTATATCTAATTTATGTAAAAATTTTTTTTATTGTATTATTATTTTAATATTAAATAAAACATTTTTGGTTAYTTCAGATGTGGTGCGCTACAGGAGTTAATCTTAGTGGAGGTGTTACCAAAGATGGAGGGGAAATTGTTGGAGCCAGTGTATTTTATAATAATAGTAATAATAATAATATGGAAGAACCCATTAGTAAAAACACAGAAGTTGAAGATAGAATTGATGAAAGCTTAGAAATGAAAAAATTAGACGAAGAGTTAAAAGTACTATTTTGTTTCACTAGTATATACCTGACTACTAAATCCCTATTTCTAATTAAATTTATTAATTTGATTTTTTTAGGAAAATAGTAGATCAAATATTGAATCAGAACTAGTGCTATCGTCACTTATTTGGATATGTACTACAACTAATAATAATACTAAAGTAGTCATTATTGATGCTAATAAACCTGATATTGTGTTAGAGACATTTCATATTTCATGTCAAGCTCATATTGGTTGTATTGCTTCAGTATCAGGTAAATATAATCTATTTGTATATATTAGGAGTATGAAATATATATATATATATTTATGTATTATGTATGTACCCTAGGCTAAATCTCTTTTTACCTTGTACTCTCGACTTTTTGTAATCATAACATTCACAATAATAGTGTTTTATAATATTTTATAGGGGCTTTAGAAAGTGATTATATGGATAATGATGTTATAAATTGTGAGCCTGAGCAAACTGAAGAGGTTACAGAAGAAGACAAACAATTACCAAAAGATAAAAAATCAGATGTTGAAATTGGCAAAATTATGTTTGTTAGTTGTGCAGCTGGTAGTGAAGAAACTTATTTAGATGATAATCATAAAGCAGATGAATTATTAAACGACATAAACTCAGATAAGATTGATGATGGTAAGTATCTATTATTTCTACAATGGCTTTTATTTTTTACGCCTGAATTTGCTGCTTGTTGTGTTGTGCTATTGTTTGTATTTTGCTCTTAGAAGATAGCATATCAGATTCTATTCAACCAGATAGATATAGCTGTGAAATATCAAGAAGACCTAGCCTATTGAAAGAAGGTATCATAAAGGATGGAATATCTGACCCTCTGAATGGTAATTTACTTCTAAACAAAATTTTCAATTTTTTGTATTTGCTATTTATTGAAAATATATATATTACTTTTATCTCATGAATAAAAAGAATCTTATAGTTTTATTTTATGATAGAAATAATTTAAATTATTACTAAATACTCCATTTTTAAACAAAAAGTAATAATACAATTGAACTCATTAGAAAAGAAATTAGAAAATAATTAGTTAAAAATATTGAATTTTAAATCTGGTTTTCACAATACAACTATAGCTATTTTAGTAATTTAGAAACACATTATCTTCTTTATTTGTCAAAATATGTTAACATGTATTTTATTATTGTCACCGATTTTCAATGTATTTCAAACAYTTCTATATGAAGTAAAACAGTTTTAAGTATTCTATTGAGATAACAGTATACAGTAGAGTATTCATAATATGCTTTTATATTTCAAGTTTTAATTACTATAAACTTTTAGGTTGGTAGTTATATTATTGAAATTGCTTTTAMATATTAATAATTAATAGAGTTTCGAGTAAATGTTTGTGTCGTTTCATCATGTTATTTGTACTAAATGATAAATGAAATATATTATCATGATAAATTAATTTTAATGTACTGTCTATATGGTTTAGGCTTTGCGAGCTTTATACTAATTGGTGATTGTGAAAGTTAATAGTCAATATAATTTAAGTATTGGTGTGGTTGTGTTTCAATTTTTTTTTTTTTTTAGTTATTAATTAAAGTATAATGTCAAGTTGTACGTCAAATTATTCCTTAATTATCTCTAGTTAAAATT